TATATACACGATTCAATGAATGAAGAAAACGTTACACAACAATCAGAAAGAAATGTACAACTGACATGTTCAGAAACAATAACACCAACGATAAGTGGACAAATCATGCCCGGTAGAGTGGCGATCGTATTCGATAAACCCATCAAATGGCCAGCATACTGAAAACGACGATAAGTATCCTTACTGAGAAAGTGAAGCAACGCAGAGAGTGATGTGATTCAACTATCTTACTTGTGGTGCTAAATCCAAATGATTCACTGAAAATGCGCTCCATGGGAAACCACCGAGACCAATTGAAATGATGATTGATAACATCACAAAATTTGCTGATATATGAGTGGTTGCTAACATAATCGCTATCGCCTGTCCTACGAATCCTACAAATGCAAAATGCAAAAACATTATTCATCTCCTTCAAAGTTATACAACAGTGATAAAAACCCAAAAGCTGATATGTGAATCCAGAGGCTTAGGAAAATTTATCGTAGTAGAAGAGAGCGCAATGAGGGCCTGGGCCTGAAAAACGGCTTTACTCTTATTTTTCTTGCACTTATAGTGAAGCGATAAAATACCCGAATATTAGAGTGAATTTTTCTGCGTTAATTATTTCTTCCTTCCTGATTCTCTCCTCTTTTCACCTCAAACATTCACTCACCGAAGCAACAAAAATATTTTCGTGTTTTTTCGGTCGACCAAACGTAACGGTCTCTCAAAACATCCGCCAAACTGCCAGCAATCACCAATATGATACCCATCATTAGATAAGGCAAAGCTGCGAAGAAACCAGCCTGAAGAGATTGACAAACTACAAGAACAGATAGCTGATATTCATTCTGATGTGCTAATCGCTTCCGCGATTAGCAATCATAAGTTTGTGACTTGATCTTCTCCTTTTTTAAAGTTGATATGTACTCATAAGACATAATTTAAATACAACTGAAAATAGATGAGAAAACAACAAACACCTTTTCCAACTGATACTCCATGAGATCTTCAAGTATACGTGGTAAACTCGTCAGCATCATGTAAAAACCCCAGTTTTCACAAAAATGTGCCACAATTATTGCCCAAACAGCCTTACTCGTCAAAATTTGTCTCCACGGGATCAACTTCAAATAAACTTAATGAATTTTTCAAACGATCACTTTGCATATCATTATATCAATAATGCATTAACAGCAATCCATTCCTAAAAAGCTTACAAATGTGTTCGTGGTGATCGCCTCTCTTTGAAGCAATGTCAATTCATCTGTTGTTATATTCATGTCATGCTCGGGTAAATCACTCACGTTCTTTACCCACACAACACACCAAACTAATGCCGCCAACCCTGTGCGATAAAAACATATACTCATACAGGAGAAGAATGCAATGTTCTTCATATATTCATATACTCATAACAAATGGAGAAGAACGCAATGAAAAACGCAACGACATCATGTAATCAAATTTCTGGCGAACCAAAAAAATAGAAAATAAATGGCCATCCAAGACGATAGCCCAATAAAGCTGAGACGGGCATCGCAAACACCGTCCCAAAATAGGAACCCGAAAATGCAAATGACGTTAATTTAGTTTTTTCTAATAACGGAGCCCAATGACTCCACATTACGTGCATCGCTGGATATGTGACTCCCTAAAGCAATAATAATAATAATTACTAATAACAATAGTAATAATAATAAAATTAATTATAAGAGGCAGTATGTAGCTGTGATTAGGAATAAAGAATGTTTTGGTAACAACAATAATTCAAAAAATTACTTTATTTTCAAATACAAAAACTGATTTATAAGATTGAAACAGCAAGAACAGAAACTCAACTCAAGCAATCCTTCAGTAAATCGAGCCAATATTAACATCACTTTACCCATATGTGCAAGTGGTGGAGTAATTAGCGTGAAAGCTGCCGTTCCTGAAATTATTCGATAAGTTTTCAACTTTTACCTCATTCCTGAATTCAGAAAATGATTCTGGGCATTATAGAGAAGCACAAGCACTACCACCTTTTTCGAATCAAGCGATGAGCGTCTTTTTTTTGAAACATAAAAGAGGCTCACAGTCAACTCGAAATCTACGGGAAGACAAAGGAGGATGAGTGCTATCTAAAATCAAAATATCAATTACTCGCTACGCACATATAAGCATTCTCATAATTGCAGCTGAATTCATCTAATCGTAAATCAAAATGAAGTGACCGAGTAAAACCAGCTGGGTGGAACGTTTCTTACCAAAGTTGAATGCAAGTCCATCTGGCTGGGGAGAAAACGGCTTATCATATGCCAGTTCTCTCCGTTGCCCTACCCAAAACATATAATAGAATGGTCTTGTCATGAAGAAAACACAAAGAACTTACCAAAAACACCTGCTACAAATACCAGTTTACCCCCATACGCATGCGCTAAATAACCGCCGGGAATTTGAGTGAAAATGTAGCCGTAGAAGAACGCGCCCAGTATTGCTCCTTGACTGAACGAATCCCAATCACCAAATTCGGGTTTCAGCTGAAACAAAAATCGCTTCTGCGTTCGTCTAATGATTGATGAAACATGAATGGCTCGATAGAATATGTGAACAAAACCGACTATTATCTCAGTATGGTTGACTAATCGAACACTATCGTAAGTCATTTGTACAATTGCAACTGATAGATTTGCACGCATCGCATAGATGTTCGCAAAGCCAAAAAAGGCCAACAACGCAACCAAATAACGTCGTCGTATTGTGCATTTGCTGGCTGACCATGATGAACCATCAAGCTCTGGAAATGTAAAAATTTATTTTATAGATAATGGTCACAGATATTCAAGTTTGATTCACTGACCAGAGCCTGCATCAGCAGAGCCATATAATGACGACGAACGATGCAATATCGACGACATCCACTCGAATAGTTTCTATAACTATGGCTCGTCAATGATAGCACCACCGTTGCCTTTCCTTTTTCAGCTTTGCCCTGCAGCCATTATCGATTCATTCACTTTTCTCGTCACTCTGCATTCTACGCATATCGCCACCATGCCTACTTATCGCTAACAATTCACTACATTTATACATAACCTTCTCAAACTTCAATATGTGCATGTTCTAATGAGTCGTTAGTGAGAAGTTGCTGCTCGTTTTGTTCATTAAGCTTATGAGCAACATGCGACTATCGTCCATTTGTTTGTTTGCATTTAACTGAATTACACACTACGTCCAGCTGCAACCAAGCCTTTAGACGCTCATAGACAGATATAGCTGGCGCAAACACGCACCGAATTAACACTCTCATATACTTACCGTCGTGTGATCGCTGAATGACATCTGAGTGTATGCATTGCATGATTCATCGATCCCCTTAAACGCTACTGTTGCCATCATTTCTGGGGTAGTATCTTTCTCCTTCAGTTGATCTGGGGAACAAATCAGGCCGATCAATGAATCGATAAATTCTTGTGCCATTGCCTAATTCCAATCAACAACATACACAAGCACAACCACACATATTGTAACTCACCTTCTTAACTTCCTTCCTTAAACTGCTTGCGACCAGTTAATGGATATAATGTGCAATCAACAACAGTTATTAGATGACCACTTTCTATATTGTCATGTAACTGGAACATTTCTCTTCGATCGAACAGGATCACACATCAATCAATAAGCAACATTCAGTTCAATGAATTTATCTTATCACTACTACCACACCACATCACTTTTATGATGAACATAAATCGCGAATGTACGATGGATAGATACAGTTATTAAATAGATCCTTCTAAAATTACTAGACAATACGCTTACGTTCGGGTACTCAATTATCCTTCGATGGTCTGGCAGGCCGTCATTACCCACCCCCCACCTCGGACACTCCAAAAACGGGTAACTTCCCCCTCCCCTTTACGGGGCCCCTGCTCTAGGCTAACCAAATTCCTATCACTTTATCATCACAATCAAAAGAACCTCTGTTAAGAATACCTATCCATCAATAATAAGAGCAGTTCCCGTTCGAAAAATAGTAATGAAAATAACTCGACAACTGTTTGCTAATAATCGGTTATTAATAATCAAATGAACCGATTGCCGAATGTACATAACAAAAGAAATGACATCAAGTTCAAGCATAATGGCTGTGCAATGGAATTGAACCGAATAGCAGAATACAACAGAGTTGTGACAACACAGTTGATGAACTTCTCGGCAAATATTTATAGAACTATGAAAACGAATTAATTACAGTATGAATACAGATTGATCACATAAAAATTTGATAAAATATGTACGCGAAACTTAATATAAATCAAACTTTCAATCAGACAAACATAATAAAGTGTTCACGTTTATTTGAAGAGCATAGAGACTCAGTTTGTTCATCAGTGATCAAATTAAACAATGCGTTTTGACACATTACTTCAACTGTCACACTAGAATATAAGATTATTTTTATATGAAACAATCTCATAAAAATTCTGAGTATAAATGAAATAAATGCTGATTTTTGGATGATAAAAAATATATATGAGATAAAATATGGCCTATAGTTGCACAAAAAACTGATCGTAATTTAAAACGAACTAGACAGTATGAAAAACAAGAAATCACTGGACAATTAATTGGAATATTAAAATTATAATGACGATAACAGTAATAATGTGGACGATTAGAATACATACAAATTTGACAGAATGATAGAAACACGTCGACCAAAATAATACCACCACAAATAGCATCAACAAATGAATTTGACACTACAAACTGAACAAAAACAAGAATGATGCAAATAAAACGAATAAGGATAAAAACATTTGGCATCGATCGCCCCACCATTCTTAGCATCCATCCATGAATCAGTCATATACAAACCCGTTCGTTGTCTTGCTCAAACTGATCACTTCAGCGTGCGTTCATTCGTCTTCTCCATCTGCATACTGTGGTCGAATTGTTAGTTCACGTACCGTCGCGTTGGCCATTGCGCCCAACAAAACCTGAATAATGTGATCGGTAGGACAGATGGCTAAGTTGTAAACAAATGAAGGAAACGAACCTCAGGACATGAAACAAACACAAAGTGATCATTGCCATATGCGGCACAAGCGTCTCGAACTTTCTTTTGCAATTGCGGATTAGCAGTCACCCAAATCGTGAACACATTCTTCGGTGAGCATGCCAAGCACTCCTCAAGCATCGGCAAATCCGTCTCTGAATCACCACATACCAAAATTCGTCCTTCTTGATTCATTTTCAGACCCATTTTACGCTCTATCAAACGTATTCCATGTCCTTTATTGAAAATACGTCCCGATAATTTCGCCTTAAATATCAATCATAACTGTCCACAATTGAACACTTAAACGAACAATATTATCAAGTAAACGTACAATGTTATCAAGTAAAGAGACAATCAAAGAAATAAATAATCCAGATAGATCTGTAAAACAAACTTTGGTGTATATCTTTAAATCATAATCGCTCTCACGAAGGGTCAATGTTGAACCGGTTGGATCAACTTCATTAACGATTTTACTTACGGCTTTATAACTGAAACAACAAAAACAAATCAGTGAACGAAGAATACAACAATATAAAAATAACTGGGAATGACTAACAGTAAAGCAGATCGATGTCTGGGTACAGAATGATTTACATCTTGGCGAGCAATCGTTATATGACCAAAGTGCTTTTGTAGACCTGATCCTATCCACGTGAAATTTCGATATTCCTGTTGTTCCAACAATTCTTCCATCTTCAATGAGAGAGTAAATTCATAAGTGCACTTACAAAGTGATCAACTTGTAACGGAAGTAACTGCAAACCCTTTCAAAGACGCTGTTCAACAAGGCAAGATCCTCTTCATTTATAGTGTCATCTTTGAACTGCATCGCGGGATTCATGTACCATTCACGACCTCCTGATGCCGCATACGCATAATAACCCTCAGGCATCGTGCTCACATTCAGAATACCAATATGCATCAGCGGTGACGTCGTGACAATCGCACAAAACTGTGCACAACGACGTGCGAATTGCGCCTTAACCACAATAGCAATAAGAAAGTTTGACGGCTGCACTAGAAGAGTGAAAGAGAAGAGAACCTGAATAACGGCCGAATATGCCGGTTGAATACTGGCCGGATATGAGCACGAATATGATTTGAGTGTACCATCACGATCAGTGAACAAATAATCGAAATGATCACCTTCTGAGAGTAATCCGAACGCTTTTTCGACTTCCTCTTGAAATGCATCCGGACCTGACGGATGGAATCTGCCCAAAGTCTGCAAAAACCAATCAGTTAATCGAAAGATATGAAAATTGAAAATCAAATCATCAGCAACCGAAAATACAGCAGCAGCAGCACATCAGTACTGAGCGCAGTTATGAGAGTGAAGTTTCTTGATTAAGGAAAGAAACATTTTGTATCTAACCGCAACAAACTGCTCCACATTATTGATCTCATCGCTCTGAATGAATTTCAAAAATTCCAAATCTTTTTCCAGCTCTTCGATTTCATTTGAAATATCGAATTTTGCCGATAGATGCCCATCAGCACCTTCGTCTGAATCATCTGCGCCAGAATCCGTTTCTAGTACCAGTTTATGCGTTCCCGTCAGGCATGAATTTTCTAGCGAAGACTGCAAATTTGATGATACATTCTTAGTCAGTTTTCCTTTCACTTTTTCTGCATTACATTCTTCAATATTGTACCTTAGCATTTTCGAGTGACACACCGAAATGCGGTCGTATTGCGAAACCTTTGAGAACACGTTCTGCTATCTGTCGTCTCACTTGACACGTCTTATCCATTAAATGATAAAAATCGGCCAGAAGTTTCAGCTGCAAAAAGTTATTTTAACAGTCAATCAGCCCACCGACAAATCAGTGCAAATATTCAACAAAGTAACTGCTGCGCGGAGTGACCAACAACCAGTAAGAAAACAACCAATCCACGGCGGCTAAATCGAAGCTCGTGTGAAAATATTGGCGATCGACCACTGAGATTGAATGCGAGAGTCAAAATGGAGTACAAATTACTACTAGTATTATTATCTGACTTAATAGATGCAATCATTTCCTTACCACTTGGTGCTTACCTCAGTTGGTCGAATAACTTCATGAGTCCACGATGGATCCAGGAAAGCCGTACTCCACTCGTCTATATCGTGTACTATCAAAAACTGATTTAGACGTTTGCCGTGCTCTTGACGTACGTCCAACGTTTCCGTTGCTGCTTTATAGAATGCATCAGCAAATTCCTGAAATAAAACAACAACCGTTTTCACTGACTGAATTTCTTTTCTTTTTGAAACTACCCATATTTGTGTACATGCCATGCCCAAAGGAGTAAACTGAACTAAGCCAACGATGTTGTAATGAAATGCTATCAATAAATGTACCTACCTCAACATCACCAATTTCAGTCACCCTAAAATAACACTGTTGATCTTCTCCATAGAAGCCCGCATCGTCCAACTGCACCTCAGTACCAGCTCCAGTTGACAGTATCAAAGCAGCACTCGGATTGCAAATTACCATCTCTTTCGCCACTAAATTCATGCCGTCCTTCTTCGGCGTTACCACACCAACGTCCATCGCCAAATAATGCGCTATCAATTTTGGACGTGGTAAACCTAAACCGCAGTAATTTCAGTGCATATCATATTCACGAAACAATAATCATGATGATATGAGAATAATAGTACTAAATAACAATAACAACAATAGTAATAAATAACAATGACAATAATAATAAGATTATAAACAACTGCATCGACAAGCAACAAACCTTCAGTTTCGAACTTAATGGGACGCCAGTTCGGATATTTGGCAGCTTTGAAATGTTTGTTGATTTGATCAGCCTTACTGATACACGTGTCCTGATAGAGACGGTACGATTCAACAGAACGTCGATTTGTGACAGCCACTTGAAATAGCACGTCCAATCCCACTCGCTCGGGATGCTTTTCCAGATATCGTTGCCATGCCTTTTATTCTTTGCTTAGTTATGAGAATAGCAATAAAGTATTCAACTGAATGCCAACATTGAACTCGCTTTGCATTCATCAATTAATTTATTTAAAAGTTCAAGTTTACCTCGAGCTTCTCCATGATACCTTTCGTATAGTCGAAACGTTCCACTGAGAAAAAGATGCATCCTTCTTCTGAGCCAGCCGATAAAAGCTAAAAACAAAACAATTGATCAAAAGAAAATTATTACGATTGCAAGGTATTCGTTTGGTCTAATTAAGATAACCACAAAGAAAGCAATGAATGAATAAATAAATAAACGAATCAAATAAAACGAAATAACAACAAAAAAAGAAACATTTTTACGAATATCCTGCGCAAGAATGGTCGTTTCAGGATTGCGTACGATAGATAGGAAATCTTCGTTTTTGATTGAAACCGGAAAAACGCCCAAAGAACAAGTGAAACCCTGCAAATGAACGCAAAAAAATTTTCATCATTAACATTTCTCAAACGAACGATATTCTTTTCTGATCCATATACTAAGCAAAACCAACACACCTCGTGGGTGATCATAAAAATATCCACAGTGCTTTCATACTGGATTCGTACACGCGAAATGTGCTTCTTAATCAATTCCACGTATTTCGCACGATCACGATGCGTTTGAAAACCAACCTGAATTGACCACCGAAGTGACTAATTAACCTTATTATTAAAATCACTTTTAAAAAAACAACAGAATCAAACAGCAACAAAAAAGAATCAAACACTGAGTGAGACGCCAAAAAGTCTCGTCGTTTACCTTGGTGAAACGAAGTAGTGCACGCATAACCGGCTCAGCAACAATACGATATTTCGTCATCCAATTATCTGGTGGTTGAAATGGTATATGCAAGAAGAAACCAACCTGGAAACGTTTCTGTCAATTACACTAAACAAAAAAATATACAAACAGATCCTACCTCAAGATTACAATCAAGACTTCGCATCATTTGTCCTGTAAGAATGAGATGATAATCGTGAATCCAAATAAAATCCTGCGGACGACTGTTTCGTACGGCATTTATACCGAACTGATAATTCACACGAACATACGCGCACCAATGTTCACGCAGTATCTGTATTTGAAAGTGCAAGAGAAACAAACAAATTACCCGTTGAAACAAACAACAAAGAAACAAACAGACCGCTGGATCATCATAATCCTTGACGATATATTCGGAAAGATTGTGCAAAGCTGGCCATAGAAGACCGTTGCTAATGCCACCATAGTAAGTGTTGTAATCCTCTTGATTGACGATCACCGGATTCAGTTGATAATTCGTCCGATTGTAATCATGTAACACTGACAGCAATGACATATCTCTTCTTAATCAATAACATGTAAACAACAATAATGCATTATTTCATATTACTAATTTTGTTTGTCACTTACTCTACGTCCCGTTCGTTTTCCGTCAAATTCACCGCTTTTGGATCATCTTTTTCGAGCACGTGAAATATTTCACCGGCCTTCGCTTGACGTATCAATGGAAGACCGAGTGAATTTGTTGACGGTGGTACCAAGTCCTGAAATGGATGAATATACAGATAGTCGATTCTTCAAGTGACTGTGCTAATGAAAAGCATGAATTGATCAAACTGACTTGTTCAGAATCAGAGACACCATCAGCCAGAGTATTCTGAACGTTCACACCCAGATTCGCCAGCCATATATTCTCTTTATCAACACTCATCACCGGATCAACACACGCCACTAGACCACCACTGCCTTGCTTGATCTCCCAGCAACCACTTCCTTTACGAGTCAGCGAAACTGGTGGTGCGTTCGAGACATTTATTACCCGTTGCTCAAATTACACAAATGTTTATTTGATGGTCCGGTGAAGTTGTTTGTCCATCTTAATGGTGTTGTTCCAGTGCAATATCTGCTACTACCTAGACCGATTTAATCATTGCCATATTGGTGATTCAACTCACTGAGCACGGATTCCTTTCAGTGGCATTCAAATGCAACGATAAATTATTCGCATGGTGTTCCCTCTCCCAACGGTAACAGCAAAAAAAATTTTTTGATTGTTTATCATCAGCGAAAAGACTGATTTGTTTATCTCCTCGGCTAGCAATCTGTGTGTGGTTTAGTGATGCTGAAATGTCATTTATTTACGATTACTCACCGAATAGACAGACCCGCTGCAAATGCAAAGAAATATCATCATCTCTCTCACTCCAATATTTACTATCAATTCTTAGCATCAAATATATTTTTTCTCCACTCCAGTCTGCAGTAAGAAAACAAAAGTTGCAAAACAAATGCGCACTGATATGATATGATAAGGACTATAACGTAAAGGAGAGAGAACGAGAATAATATGAAAAGGTAGACGAAAAAAAGACGAAAACTGAGAGCAAAAAAATAAAGCAATTAAAATGAAATATTAATCTTAATCTGAAATCATTCAAATTAATCACTGATTCGGCACTCAGCTGTTATGAAACTGTTACGGTAGTGATCATTGAACAAACGTAGAAGATACCTTGTGATGCGTAGTATCAGTGAGTCCACCAGCAGCCAAAGCATCTGTTAAGCCATCCCCAACTGCTTCTTCATTCTCTGCGCCTCCTTGTCCTTGACTTAGCCCACCACCACCACCAGATAAATCCTCTCCTCCCGAAATGTCTAAAAGGTTCTCCATTGAACCACGTCTACTTGACACACGTGAACTCGCTCTGCTTCTCACCATCTGAAAACAACAATT